CTCTTTTATTTCCTCTGGTAGGGGCCATTCATCGTTTACCTGCGGCCTTACTCTCAAGTCAACCCCTATTCTTTAGCTGTTCCCTTCGTCTGGCAACTCTGCGCATGCGCACACTGGGAACAGGCTCCAGCTGTTCTTCTGCCTCACTGATGTCTGACTCCGAAGGCAGCTCATAACTGTCGGACGGCTCTGGTCCCTCCCTCTGCCTCTGACACAGAGCCCTCATCAGAGCCTTCCCCAGACTCCAGGACTGACCCATGTTCCTCCCCAACCTCCTCACTGTCCTAATCTGTTCCCAGTTCTGCTGGCTGGTGGCGGACCATAACACTATGCTCTAATCCTTTCCGTTCTATCTTGCCAGGCATGTTGCCCCCACCCCAGCCCACCCAAGCCAATCTCATTCAGTATTATCCCTTCACTTTCAGCGTGTGTCAACACACCAGCAGACACAATTACAACGCCGCGATTCTAAAATGATCCAAGCCACCGGCCAGAGGGATCCTGACGTTTCACCTAGTGACAGAACAGATGACGACGATGACACGATAATAAATCTGCAATTGTTTCCGTATTCAGAAGCTGGGAATGATTTAAATGGTACGCTTACAAAGCTGAAGCCCGAATGGAGGGAGTTCTGAGGGGAAGATGAGATATGAGAGGATAACCGCAGCAGAATTCAGCTTGTTAAAATCTCTGTTTTTTTTTCCAGAATAAAAATGGAAGTTTCTCAGTCTTAGGTAGTTGAGGACTACCTACTTCCAGGTAGTCCTCGACTTATGACCACAACTGAGTTCCAAATTTCTGTTGCTAAGTAAGACAGTTGTTAAGTGAATTTTGCCCCATTTTACAGTTCTTAAGTGAATCGCTTCAGTTGTTAAGTTAGTAACACGGTTGTTAAGTGAATAACACGGTTGTTAAGTGAATCTGGCTTCCCCACTGACTTTACTTGTCAGAAGGTCGCTAAAAGATGACCCTGAGATGCTGCAACCGTCATAAATAGGAGCCAGTTGCTAATCATTTTGATCATGTGACCACGGGGATCCTGCAACGGTTGTAAGTGGGAAAACGGTCATAAGTCACTTTTTTCAGTGCCGTTGTAACTTTGAATGGTCATTAAGTGAGTGGCTGTAACTCGAGGACTATCTGTATTCCAGTTAAATTAGGAAATATGAAGATGCTGAGTAGTGAAATATTGTGTCTAATTTAAACTTAATGACAATCCTGTTACACCCTGAAAAAATAAACCTGATTTAATTGAGCGGGATACATTTTATAATTCTTGAGAGCACCTTGCATAAATGTAATGAGAAAATATGCAGATGGGAAGTTTCTGTGCTCTCTATTCCGCCAAAAGATGAAGTATTTGTTCATTTGTTGAATCTTTTCTGACCCGTGGAGTAAATGTACCCAGTTTAAATTATCCCAAAAAGTGGAGGACAGATCTGCAAAAAAAAAAAAAAAAAGGTTAATTCTCCTGTGTGCTGCTTGGGGAATCCAAGCATGGGTTAACTTTGTCCATTAGCCTAGAG